AGATTTGTTCAACATCTAGTGGACTGCTGAACTAAGTCATAATTCCATCTAAACCCAAGAGTAGACATTTTCCCTTAAGTTTGGCTACTTTTGGTTTTTGAGGTTATAATTGTTGAAATGATATCATAACTGATTATGGGAAAAGTAAAATATTATAGAGGCAGGAAAGTGATAACAAAGCACACTGATACTATAATGCATTTTTAAAAGACCTTATTTTATTCCATATTCATTTATAGACTAACACATATTTTGAGAAGAAAATTTTTAAATTTTTTTTACAAACAATCTTCACAATTTTGTCTATTTATTTTCCTGTGTCAAAACAATACATACTGCTGGCAGAGTTCTCCTCAAGCAGCCACTACCTGATAACGAATGGGTTAGAAAGACCTGGACAGCCCAGTGTTCCTTTCTCTCCTTCACTCTTTATCTTCATAGTCTTTTTTAAAAAAATAGACATAGGGTTTTACTCTGTTGCCCAGGCTGGACTCAAACTCTTAGGCTCAAGTGATCCTCCCATCTCAGCCTCCTAAGTAACTGGAACTACAGGTGTGTGCCGCCACCCCTGGCTTCTGTCATCTTTTTATCTAATCTGGATTTCTCTAAAAAGTCTTCAACTCCATGATAAAAAGCAGCTAAGCCTGCCAACATCTGCCTAATTCTTTTTCTAGGGCAAATGTGCTTATGTTCCAAATTTCAACATTTTAAGGAAGAAACCATAAGGAAACATACTGACAAGTATTTGCAAATAATCTCATTCTCAGAGAAACATACCATATAGTGTGTCAGCCTGACTTTAAAAGACTTTAAATTCAATCCCTGGAGCAGTGTCTGTCACCTGCATTCAAAGACCAGTTGCAGCAGAATCATGGAACAATATAAAAATGCAGATCCCGGGGCTTTACCTCAGACCTACAGTCTCTGAAGATAGAGCTGAGAGTTCTGCCGGTTTAATGGGCCCTATTGGTGCTGATTAAATCCTCTATCGAAATTCTTTTTTTCAGCACTTAATGATAGCTCCACTTGCAGAGTTGCTAATTGGCACTTCTGATTGGAGTGAAGCGGGGAATGTACATGGCATCTGTGTCTATAAAGAATACCGAGGGTTACTTGAATGAGCAATGGGGGTTGAGAACTACTGCACCAACAGTTAATTTTAAAAAAGAACAAACAGCCGTGCGCGGTGGCTCACACCTGTAATCCCAGCACTTTGGGAGGCCAAGGCAGGCGGATCACGAGGTCAGGAGATCGAGACCATCCTGACTAACACGGTGAAACCCCGTCTCTACTAAAAATACAAAAAATTAGCCCGGCGCGATGGCGGGCGCCTGTAGTCCCAGCTACTCGGGAGGCTGAGGCAGGTGAGTGGTGTGAACCCCGGAGGTGGAGCTTGCAGTGAGGCAAGATTGCGCACTGCACTCCAGCCTGGGCAACAGAGCGAAACTCTGGCTCAAAAGAAAAGAAAAAAAAAAAAAGAACAAACGTTGAGAGAGTAATTTCATTTTGATTTGCCAATGAATTGCTTTTTAATCTGGAGAAGTGAAGATGGGCAAACATAATAATCAGATTTACAGTAATTATTAGTGAAGGATGGAGGGATTCAAGTGAATAGAAGATCAAATGCTATGACTTCTCAACGTAAAAAAGTTCACGGTGGCATTTCCATGACCTTAATTCTCTCTCTCTCTCTCTCTCTTTTTAAAGAGGAAATGTGCTTTTTAAGCATTTCAGTAGCTTTTGGGGGAACAGGTGGTTTTTGGTTATGTGCATAAGTTCTTAAGTGGTGATTTCCGAGATTTTGGTGCACTCATCACCTGAACAGTATACACTGTGCCCAATGTATCATCTTTTATCCCTCACCTGCCTCCCACCATTGCCCCAGAGTCCCCAAAGTCCATTATATAATTCTTATGTTTTTGTGTCCTCATAGGTTAGTTTCCACTTATGAGTGAGAACATATGATGTTTGATTTTCCATTCCTTAGTTACTTCACTTAGAATAATGGCCTCCAACTCCATCCAGGTTGCAGTAAATGCCATTACTTCATTCTTTTTTATGGCTGGGTAGTATTCCCTGGTATCTATATATACCACATTTTCTTTATCTACTCTTTGGTTAATGGGCATGTAGACTGGTTCCATATTTTTGCAATTGCAAATTGTGCTGCTATAAACATGCGTGTGCACTTGTCGTTTTCATATAATGACTTCTTTTCCTCTGGATAGATACCCAATACTGGGATTTCTGGATCAAATGGTAGTTCTACTTTTAGTTAAGGAATCTCCATACTGTTTTCCATAGTGGTTGTACTAGTTTACATTCCTACCAGCAGTATAAAAGTGTTCCTTTTTCACCACATCCATGCCACCGTCTATTTTTTTTTTTTTTATTTTTAAGTTATGGCCATTCTTGCAGGAGTAAGGTGATACCTCATTTTGATTTGCATTTCTCTGATAATTAGTGATATTGAGCATTTTTTCATATGTTTGTTGACCATTTGTATGTCTCCTTTTGAGAATTGTTTATTCATATGCTCAGTCTACTTTTTGCTGGGATTATTTGTTTTTTTTCTTGCTGATTTGTTTGAGTTCCTTCTCGATTCTGGATAGTCCTTTGTCTAGAACAAAGGACTTTGTTGCAAACTTTGCATGGTTTGCAAATATTCTCTCCCACTCTGTGGGTTGTCTGTTTACTCTGCTGATTATATCTTTTGCTGTGCAGAAGCTTTTTAGTTTCATTAGATCCCATCTGCTTAACTTTGTTTCTGTTGCATTTGCTTTTGAGTTCTTGGTCATGAAGTCTATGCCTAAGCCAATGTCTAGAAGAATTTTTCCTATGTTATCTTCTAGAATTGTTATGGTTTCAGGTCTTAGATTTAAGTCTTTGATCCATCTTGAGTCGATTTTTTTATAAGGTGAGAGATGAAGATCTAGTTTCATTCTTCTACATGTGGCTTGCCAATTATCCCTGCACCATTTGTTGAATAGGGTGCCCTTTCCCCACTTTATGTTTTTGTTTGCTTTGTTGAAGATCAGTTGGCTATAAGTATTCGGCTTTATTTCTGGGTTCTCTATTCTGTTCAATTGGTCTATGTGGCTATTTTTATACCAGTACCATGCTGTTTTAGTAAGTATAGCCTTGTAGTATACTTTTAAGATGGGTAATGTGATGCTTCCAGATTTGTTCATTTTGCTTAGTCTTGCTTTGGTTACACAGATTTTTTTTTATTCCATATGAATTTTAGGATTGTTTTTCTACTTCTGTGAAGAATGATGATGGCATTTTGATGGAAATTGCATTGAATTTATAGATTGTTTTTGTCAATATGGTCATTTTCACAATATTAATTCCACCCATCCATGAGCAAGGGATGTTTTTCCATTTGTTTGTGTTATATATGACGTCTTTCAACAGTGTTTTGTAGTTTTCCTTGGAGAGATCTTTTTTTTTTCTTTTTGTGAGGTGGAGTCTTGCTCTGTCACCCAGGCTGGAGTGCAGTGGCGTGATCTCAGCTAACTGCAAGCTCCGCCTCCCAGGTTCATGCCATTCTCCTGCCTCAGTCTCCTGAGTAGCTGGGACTACAGGTGCCCACCACCACGCCTGGCTAATTTTTTGTACTTTTTAGTAGAGATGGGGTTTCACCGTGTTAGTCTGGATGGTCTCAATCTCGTGACCTTGTGATCTGCCTACCTTGACCTCCCAAAGTGCTGAGTTACAGGCGTGAGCCACCGTGCCCATCCTCCTTGTAGAGATCTTCCGTCTCCTTTGTTAGGTGTATTCCTAAGTATTTTATTTATTTATTTATTTATTTTTGCAACTGTTATAAAAAGGGTTGAGTTCTTGATTTGATTCTCAGCTTGGTTGCTGTTGGTGTATAACAGTGCTACTGATTTGCGTACATTGATTTGGTATCCTGAAACTTTACTGAATTCATTTATTAGATCTAGAAGCTTTTTGGATAAGTCTTTAGGATTTTCTAGGTATATGATCATGTCATCGATGAACAGCAACTGTTTGACTTCCTCTTTACTGATCTGGATGTCCTTTATTTCTTTCTCTTGTCTGATTGCTCTGGCTAGGCCTTCCAGTACTATGTTGAATAGAAGTAGTGAAAGTGGGCATCCTTTTCTTTTTCCAGTTCTCAGGAGGAATGCTTTCAACTTTTTCCCATTCAGTATAATGTTGGCTGTGGGTTTTTCATAGATGGCTTTTAATATTTTGAGGTATGTCCCTTCTTGCCAATTTTGCCTCAAGTTTTAATCCTAAAGGGATGCTGGATTTTGTCAAAAGTTTTTTCTGCGTCCATGACCTTAATTCTTAACCCTGGCTGCCCTTTAGAATCCTCCAGGATTAAGCTTTAAACAAATAGTGATGCCTGGGCCCTGCTCCACATCAACTAAATCAGAATCTCTGTGGTGGGGGCCTGGAGTCCTGCTTATTTTAACAGCTTCCAGGGTGACTAGTGTGCAGCCAGCCAGAGCACCACTACTCTGTGACATATGAGAAGCTGTTGAGTCACCTGCTATTGTTGACATTACAGGCAGTTCATGTTCTCTTCCAGACACTTGGAGGTCTTTAGGAGAAGTGAATGCTTGGCACTGTTCTTTCATCTCATTTCCACTTCTTGAACCACCATCATTAGGAATTACTGCTTTATTTGTGATAGCAGTAAAACACAAATAATTTTGCCACCTGCTTTCTTGCCAGAATTATGAAGCAGCATATTTCTTAGAGCAAAATCCAGAAAGTTATATAACTTACAAATTTATTAGTTAAAATTTGCCTCCCTCGGGAGGCAAGGGGGTAGCATTTGTGGAATTTTGTGATCTGTTGCTTGGCAACTATATCTAAGACAGTTAAGCTTCTGCACTCTGTGAACTGTTGAGTCACAAAGTTTGGTGAGCCCAGTCAATTGCTTCCTGCTACTGGAAGGAAATTAATTCTTCATTATGCAGAGGACTTGACAAGTTTTCATCCAGAGCAGGCCATTCGTAGTTATGTCACACTTCTTCTACTTGACTCCACAAATTCTTCTGCCCTTTAGCCCTCTTACTTCTCAAGAGTTTGATCTGATCAGACGCAAGGCTGGAGCATCTTGGCAGGATGAAACACGATGGTCAGATTCTTCCATGACAACATACAGAGGCAGTTACCGGAAAAAACAACTGGACAAGTCCACATGCAGCCAATTTTCTTTTAGAGCAGGACAGCATCAGCCTGAGTGTAAACAGTAAGATTTCTTTGTAATTTGCACCTGGATATATCACTATAAATAGACAAGAGTGCCCTTAGAAGAAAGATGTATTATAGACCCTGAAAGACTTCATAGACTTTAACCCTCTGTATTTTCTTTTGTAAATGTCAGCAGGAAGAAGAGCTAAATGTCAGTGACCAGCTGAAATTATGATCCTATTCTCTATTTAGTATTCCTAAAATTATATATAACTGCCTACTCCTGAAAGGATATGGATATGAATATTTGACTAAATTTTGGGTATTTGGAGTTCTCTTTTCAGCAAAAAGGTGCTCCTGAGAATTTCGCTTTGTTTCTTGTTTGGTTTCTGGCTTTCAGGGGCTTAGAAGTTCCTTCAGAGCAGGAAGAAATTGACGAAATCCTTCCCTATTCCCTACCTGTGGTTATTGCATTTTCTGAGTGTTTACTGTAAGCCAGGCCCTATGATAAGCCCAAAATCAAAAAAATTAATTTCAGCTTATAAAGTGACTGCAACTATAGAAATAACTAATCAGCACAAAGAAAGGAGATTTTTTGGGTGTCTGGTGAGGGAGGGAGTGTTGTATGTCTGAAGAGAGCTCAGTAAAACAAGTTTCCTCCAAGCTGGTTTGACAGGCAGGTGAGGTGGGGAATGGAAAAGCACAGTGCATGGAGAAAGAACCATTTAGCCCCAAACATCATCAAGGAGCTGCCAGGAGCTAAGTACATTTGAGAAAGTATAAGTGGGGATGTGGAAAAATATCAGGACTTGTTATTAAATCTATCCCTCTGTATATATTAATTGGTAAATATTTTATCCAAATTCTTGGAATCTATTTGATAATCAGTTGAATTATTAACCTCAACTTCAGATGTCAGCAATAACCCACATAATACCCTGATAAATATTAGTTATATTTCCATCCAGGCCTTTCCAAATCATCAAAACAAGTGCTTAAAGTTAAAATGTCTCAGAAAGACTTCCCAATTGGGTGCCTTGCCTGGTTTAGTCCAACAAACTATAATTTCTGCATTTTAAAAATATCTCTCAAGTATATTGGCACTTAATTAGCTTTGGACATCCCTTTGCTAATTCTGTGATACTTGAGGTTCCTCTTGGCCAGGTAGTGGAGTTGTCTTAGTCATTTTCTGCTTCTACAACACAATACCACAGACTGGGTAAATTATAAATGATAGAAGTTTATTTGGCTCATGGTTATTGGAGAACGAGAAGTCCAAGAACACGGTACCAGCATCTGGTGAGGATGCAATAAGATGATCATCTTATCGCAGAGGGTGAAAGGTGGAAGAGAGCACTTGCAACAGAGAGAGATACCGAAACTGAACTTGCTTTGTAACAGCCTCCTCTTGAGATAACTAACCTGCTCATATTATTAATCTATTTGTGAAGGTTCCACACTTATGACCCAATCACCTCTTATTAGGCCCTATCTCCCAAAGCTATTGCATTGGGGATTAAATTTCTAACACATGAACTTTTGAGTGACACACTCAAACCATAACAGGAGTCTTTAAGCACTGCTGAGGTCCTTTTTGAAAATAGTGTTTGAAAGAAAGGTGGTATCCAAACAGATCCATTTACCAGAGTAGGAAAAAAGGTACTATACTTAATAACTGAAAAAAATGCAGGAATAGGACATCTGTTGAAAATGTATAGAACATCTGTTGAAAATGTATAGAACTTTGAATTTTTTCCTATTCAGAGAGTGATCATTATGTGAATCATTCCAACCAAGGCGGCCTGTGACATTGCAAAACACAAAAGAGCATGGGCTTGTGAGGTTCACCTGTTTTTGGAACCTCAGAAACGTAAATACATTCTTTGCACAACTATTGCTTATTCTATTAGACGCTAAGAAGAAGCAAGTGTTATAAATGAAGATGAAGTACAGATTGAGCTCATTTTGAAAGTACTGATTATATTCTAAATTTGCTTTGTTTTTAATCTTTTTCATGGCTAATTTTAGTCCCAAGGACAAATGTCTTTTTAAGTTCTGAGCAAAAGCTATTTGATTAAAATTCCATAAGGCTATAGAGGGACATTCTACATCACTGTAAAATCAGAATGGTCCAAGGAGAATTATTGGGACAAAACATAAAATGACTGATCATATAAAGTGGGTTAAGTCAAGAAAGTATTAAAATATACAAAACATTATACATTATACTTTTTACTCATCATATTTATTTACCACATACATTGAATATTCATATTGTATGAGATAGAAAAAACTTGGTAAAAGTCTTGATCATTTGGTTCTGAACCAGTTTTAACTGCAGATATGTAAATTTATAAATATAATCAAAAAGATTCTGAATTTGGAGAATGGAGATTAGTGTGATACAGACCTTAAGCTATTATGAAATATTGTCATCAATCCCAGTTGTCTGCCAAGGTTAAAATAAGGGAAGGGTCACATTTTGGAATTCCTAAGACAGGAATGTGGCTCAAGTATAAAATATTAAGTCTTGATTCTTTCTGTATTCAAGACAAGGAATGAAATGGCATATAAATTGGGAAGTAAGAACTAAAACTGTCTTTGTTTGCAGATGACACTATCATCTACATAGAAAATCTGAAAGAATCAGCAAAAAAAAAAAAAAAAAAAATCCCGGAACTAATAAGCTATTACAGCAAGATTGCAGAATACAATGTTAATATATAAAAAATCAATTATTTTCCTATGTATGAGCAATAAACAAGTGGAATTTTAAATAAAAAACATGATACCATATATATTAGCATCTCCCAAAGTTAAACACTTAGATACAAATCTAACAGAATATGTACAAAATCTATATAAGGAAAACTAAAAAATTCCAATGAAAGAAATCTAAAAAGAACTAAATAAATGTAGAGATTTTTCCATGTCCATGGATAGGAAGACTCAGTATTATCAAGATGTCACCTCTTCCCAAATTGGTCTATAGATTAAATGCAATTCCAATAAAAATCCTAGCCTGTTAGTTTCTGAATATCAACAAACTAATTCTAAAGTTTATATGGACAGGCAAAAGACCAAGAATAACCAACACGATATTGAAGAAGAACATAGAGTTGGAGGACTGACACCACCTAACTTCAATGCTCACTATAAAGCCAAAGTAATCAAGATAGTGTAGTATCGGTGAGAGAATAGATCAATGAAGCAGAATAAAGAGCCTAGAAATAGGCCCACATAAATATGGTCAACTGGTCTTTGACAAAGAAGCAAAGGCAATACAATGGAGCAAATATTGTTCTTTTCAACAAATGATGTTGGAACAACTAGACGTCCACATGCCGGAAAATTAACTGAGACACAGACCTTATACCATTCACAAAAATTAACTCAAAATGGATCATAAACCTAAATGTAAAATGCAAAACCATAAAACTCCTAGAAGATGACAGGAGAAACCTTAAATAACTTTGGGTATGGCAATGGCAATGATATTTTAGATACAACAACAAAGGTATGATCCATCAGAGAAATAATTGATAAGCTGAATTTCATTAAAATTAAAAATATCTGTTCTGAGTAAGACAATGTCAAGAGAATGAGAAGACAAACCACAGACTGGAAGGAAATATTTGCAAAAGACACGTTTGAAATTTTTGTATTTTTAGTAGAGACGGGGTTTCACTATGTTGTCCAGGCTGGTCTTGAACTCCCAACCTCAGGTGATCCATCTGCCTCGACCTCCCGAAGTGCTGGGATTACAGGCATGAGCCACTGCGCCTGGCCATGCATGATACAAACTTTTAATATTTAAATTAAAAGAGAAAATTAAAAAGTTAGTGCTTACCAGTAACAGTTAAAAATTATGTAAAAAATGCCACATATCAGCCTGGGCAACATAGTGAGACCTCATCTCTACAAAAATAAAAAAAATAGCCGGGTGGTAGTGACACATGCCTGTGGTTCCAGCTACTCGGGAGGCTGAGGTGGGAAGATTACTTAAGCCTGGGAGGTGGAGGCTGAAGTAAGTCATGATTGTGCCACTGCACTCCAGCCTGGGTGACAGAGTTAGACCCTGCCTCAGAAAAAAAAAAAAATGGCACCTGCAACATGGCTAAAATAGGTCACATCTCTAGGAAGAAATGTAATCAAAGATGTGCAAGATCTCCACTCAGAAAACTAGAAGACATTCGAGAAAATAGAGGCAATCTAATAGGAGATACAAACCATGTTCATTAATTGAAAGATGTTTGATGTGGTTTGGCTCTGTGTCCCACCCAAATCTCATATCCAGTTGTAATTCCCACTGTCGAGGGAAGGTCTTGGTGGGAGGTAACTGGATCATGGGAGCAGTTTCCCCCATGCTGCTTTCGTGATAGTGAAAGAGTTCTCATGATATCTGATGGTTTAAAAGTGGCAGTTTCCCCTGCATGCTCTCTCTCTCCTGCCACCATGTAAGATGTGCCTTGCTTCCCCTTCGTCTTCTGCCATGATTGTAAGTTTCCTGAGGAGTCTCCAGCCATGTGGAACTGTGAGTCAATTAAACCTCTTTTGTTCATAAATTACCCAGTCTCAGGTAGTATCTTTATAGCAGTGTGAAAATGGACTAATACAAGGATATTGTAAAAATGTCATTTCTTTCCAAATTGATTTATAGATTTTATACAGTTCCAATAGGTGTTTTTGTAGAACTTGACACAATGATTCTAAAATTCATGTGGAACTACAAAGAGCCAGGAAATAGCTGAAATACTCTCAAAACAAACAAACAAAACAAACAACAACAACAACAAAAAGGTGAGGGTCTTGTTCTATCAACAACAAACTTACTATAAAGCTTTAGTAGTTGAGGCAGGGTGCTTTCATGAAACAAGAATAAACAAAGACCAGTGGAGCAGCGTAAAGAGCCAGAAACAGACCCATGCATATACAAATATTTGATTCATAAAAAAACAAAAAACAAACAAACAAAAAACAGCAGAGCAGCAGAGAAAGGCAATGTTTTCAATTCCAAATAAATTAATTCAGATGAATTAAATATCAAAGTGTAAAAGG